CTTAATTGTTGCAGCCATTATGACAACCTATCTCATTGACAACCTAGCTCTCTTCACTTACTAACCACTTTTGCAAGGTTGATATATTTCTGCAGGGACGAGTACCCAAAGTGTGTGAGACAAAATCTCATCATTATTGCTTCTAAGGAGCACTCTAGCTTTGCTTCTTTTATGTGTTTATTTATTTTTTTAGGGTTTGCTTACTAAAGTTTGTATACATTGTGTTTCACACTAGTCTACGTTCGCATTATGTTTCATACAATCGTTCTCCTACATTATATTTTATAAAATTAATCACCATTGGACTTTGGCTCACTTCATACAAGACAGATTTGCTTGTTCTGCAGCGTCCTTGGTATATTCAATATTTCTGTCAACACTAATGTTAAAAGCATCAAATTCTCTTCAGCCTTCATTATGCATTGTTCAGCTTTCATTTGTATATGAAGCAACTGACCCATGGCTTGAACCAGGGACACGTTGACACTTTAGTCCTTTTAAAATGTTGTCTGTCCTATTTAACACTTTAAAGAGATCCTTAGCAGTAAGTAGATCTACCCAAGACAGTATTGTTATGTTGTTGTTAGGTGCTGTGGATTCAATCATGACTCATAGTCATTCTATGAACAACAGATGGAATAACACCCTGTCCTGTTGCTTGATTTCTTGACTGCTGCTTCCAAGTAAATAAAGTACAATCTTTCACAACTTCAGGCATTTGTCATGATGGTGTTTGTCTAATTGTGAGAAATTTTTATTTCCTTATTTGTTGTTGTTAATTGCCTTCAAGTCGAATATGACTCATAGCAACCCTATGAACAAAAGGCCTAAAGTCTTTCTATAACTATCGTCATTTATCAAAGTTCGTAGAGTTTCCAGAGGAATGTTGGTTAGGAAGTGGATGCCACTCCTGCTTCCATTGAAATGTAATCTATACTCATGTCTTTCAGCTCCATCTGTAAATGTTTCTTCTTCATTTTTCTACAAGCAAGACTGTGTCATCTGCATATTGCAGGTAGTTAATGCACCTTCCTTTGAACTCGAGGGCAGGTTTTTTCTTCAGATCAGCCAGCCTCTCAAATTGCATAGTCAGCATGAAAGCAAACCATTTCATACATACTCTTCCTGATTTTAAACTTTAATATCTTCTTATTCTGTTCAAATGACTGGTTCTTGGTTTATCCTGTTTCAACATGAACACCATTACAAGTTCTAGAATTCCTATAATTCAGAATTACTTCCTTTATTTATTATGATCTATGTAGTTAAGTACCACTATATAGCCAATAAATCCCAAGTACATATCTTTCTCATATATTGCCCTTCAAGTCCAAGTCCATATGAAGTTAGAAATGATGTTCCTTGTTTCATGGCCTCTTCCGAATCTACCTTGAAATTCTCCAAGTTTTTGGTTAATATACTCCTCCAGGCATGTTTGCATGATATGTTGTTGTTGTCAACTACAACTCCTAACGACCTGATGCTCTATCCTGAGCCAGTCTCACCGTCTGACAAACCAACCTTCATTATCCCAGTTACTGTGTCAGTCCATCACATCCAGGTGTTCCTCTCCTGTGCTGTCCCTCCATTTCTCCAAGCATGATGTTCTTCTCAAAGGATTGGTCCTTCCTGGCAATATGTCCAAAGTATGTGTGACAGAGCTTCAAAATTCTTGCCTCCAAGGAGTAACTTGGCTTCACCCTTTCCAGGATAGACATGTTCATTCTCTTAGCAGTCCATGATATGTTCAAGACTCTTCATCAGCATTACAACTTAAAGGCATCAATTCTTCTTTTGTCATCTTTGGTTATTGACTAGTTCTCTGAGGCATGACAAGTAATTGAGAAGACCATTGTCTGGCTTAGGTGCATCTTTGTATCTAGGTTGCCATCGCTGTTCTTCATCACTCTGGAGAGATCCCTGACAGCAGATTTTCCAAATGCAGTTAGTGTTTTGATTTCCTTACTGCTGGTGCTAAGAGTGTTGATTGTGTAACCAAGTAAGCTGAAATTGTTAGCAGTCTCAATCTCTTCTCCTTCAGTCATGATGCTGGCAATTGGCCCAGTGGTAAGAATCTTCATTTTCTTGATCTTGAGCTTCAGTCCACATTGCAGACTACAGTTCTTACCCCTCTGCAACCAATCCGTCAAGCCCTCCTCATTTTCTGCAAACAGGGTTGTGTCATCAGCATCATAGAGGTTGTTGAGGAGTCTACCTTCAATCCTAATACCACATTCACCCTCATAAAGTCCAGACTCCTGAATGATCTGTTCCACATATAGGTTAAAAAGGTGTGGAGATATGATGCATCCCTGACATATTCCTTTTTTTATTTTGAACCGTACCTTTCTTGACTTTGAACCAAGGATTTCCTTATTCTGTTCTGATATAGCCTCCTAGTCTTAATATAGGTTTCACAATTAGGTGTTCTGCGACTCTCATTCTTCTCAAGGTTAATCACAATTTGTTGTGGTCCACACAATCATATGCCTTTTGCATAGTCAAAGAAACACAGACAGACAGTCCTCTGGTACTCCCTGCTTCCAACCAATAACATCTGACATTTGTGATGATATTCCTAGTGCCAAAGCTTCTCTGTCAATGTAGTATTCCAGTCATTTTTGGATGATATTCAGTAGGATTTTGCTTGTGTATGGGATAAGTGATATTGTTTGATAATTTCCTCACTCTTAGCACCTTTTTTGTAATGGGAATAAATATGATTTCCTTAGTTATCCAAGGTGATTGTCCTCCAGATTTCTTGGCATCGCCTGGTGAGCACATCCAGGGCAGCATCTGTTGGTTGAAATATGTCAGTTGGTATTCTATTCAATTCCTGAGGCCTTGTTTTTTTCCCAATTCCTTCATAGCAGCTTAAACTTCCTTCTTCATCACCATTGTCTCTTGGTCTACTTACATGTGATATTAACGTATTGTTAGATCATTTCATTACTATTATTTATATATTAGTATTATTCAGTACTATTACTAATATTACTATTTGGATCATTTTATTTAGAATGGACACAAATATGAACCTCTTCCAATGTGGTCTGGCACCCCTATTCCAAATTTCTTGGCATAGTGCATGTTCATGGGTACATCTGTTTGTTGAAACATTTCAATTTATATTTTGCCAATCCCTGGAAATTTATGTTTTACCATACACTTGTTTGTTCTCTGTTTATCCAAACAGAGAAAAAGAGCACTACATGGTTTAACATCAAGAAAGGTGTGTATGTCAGGGTTATATCTTTTTCTCAATAACTGTTCAATCTGAATGCTGAATGAATCATTTGAGAAACCTGACTCTATGAATAAGAATGTGGTATCAGGATAGGAGAAAGACTCATCAAAAACCACAGTCATGCAAATGACAAAAACTCTCTTGCTTGCTGAAAATGAAGGAGACTTGAAACGTTTGGTGCAGAATATCAAAGAATACAGCCTTCAGTGTGGATTACATCTCAACATCAGGAAGACAAAAATCCTCACCATTGGACCAAAAAGCAACTTCATGATAGATAGAGAAACAATTGCATTTGTCAACAATTTGATCTTATTGCATCCACCCAAAATCGACATACTTGGTACTAGCATTCAGGAGATTTAGGAAATGTGTTACATTGGGAACATCCACTATCAGGGTCCTCTCCAGAATACTGAGGAGCAATGATATCACTTTGAAGACAAAGGCGTGCCTAATTCAGGCCATGAATTTTTCATTCACTGCTATGCATCTGAGAGCTAGATAATAAGGATGACAGAAGAAGAATTGATTCCTTTGAGTTTTGGTTTTGGAGATGAATGCTGAAAATTCCAAGAACTGCCAAAAGAACAAACACAAAGGTATGGGGGAAAATGCAGCCAGAATGTTCTTTGGAGGCAAGGACGGCGATGTTTCATATTACATATATTGAACATTATTGCTAGGAGAAGAATATTTCTTGGAAAGGGACATCATGCTAGAAAAGGTATAGTGTCAGCCAAGAAACGTTATACCCTCAACACAATGGATTGACATGGTGACTGTAGCCGTGGGTCAAGTGCATCAGAGATGATGATGGTACATGACAGCACAGGGTTCTGGTCTGTTGTTCATAAGGTCGCTGTGAGTCGTACTTGAGTCTACAGCACCTAACAGCAACAACAATTTAATTAAAATAGATTCTACTTTAGATGGCAGATCTTTCTTCGTCATATATATGCGCCTTCCAGGCTGTGGACTTCATCTGATACTAAGAGAGTGTTAGACTGCCATTCATAACCTTTCCACCATCAGCACAGTGACTGCTGATATTTGAAATAATAGTAATTGAAATGTTGTTTTATTACTTTTTAATATATTACTAATAAAGATTGTCATGTAGAGACTAAGGTATTCCTACCCAGACCATATGCTTCCCAATTGCTTGCTATGCATCAGAGAGCTGGACAATGACCAGGGATGATAGAAAGAGAATTGATGCCGTTGAGCTGTGGCACTGGTGAAGAGTGTTGAATATTACATGACTGCTAGGAGAACAAACAGGTTCGTCCTAGAGATGGCAAAGTCAGGCTGTTCTGTGGAGTCAAGGAATCTGAGGCTTCATCTGACATCTTTTTGGTATGCTGCAAGGAGGGACTGGTCCTTGGAGAGGGACATCATGCTTGGAAGGGAAGAGGGACTGAGAAAGAGAGGGACTTAATTGGTGTGATAAATACAGTCACTAGGGTAATGAGAGTAGGTGTGTCAGAGACAATAAGGTTGGCACAGGAATAGAGCAGGTTTAAGGGTTATTGTACATATGGTTGCTTTTTTAAATTTTTTTTTCGTAGGGTTGCATTGAGTCGCAAACAACTCGACAGCACATAACAATAATGAAATAAAAATCATAGTGACTCTGGAAATCACTTCTACTTCTTTGGAAGAATAAGTGTTTTATAAATAATAGAAACTTCTTTCTTCCAGAAAAAGTACAAGCTGAAATAGACAGAGTACTTGGCCAGACCCAGCAGCCCAGCATGGCCGACCGAGACCACATGCCCTACACTAATGCTGTCATCCATGAGGTGCAAAGGATGGGCAACATCATCCCCTTGAATGCCCCCAGGGAAGTGGCATTTGACACCACTCTGGGTGGATATGACCTGCCAAAGGTAATCAAAGACTTCAGCTTCAAGCTCTTCTTTAGACAATAGGAATCTGAACTGGGAAAGTGACTTACATTCAAATTCCAAGGAAGCACTCAAATGGGGAGAGGGATAAACTATACCCGCTATTTTTATTTTTTTCCTAAGTATTGCTTAAGAACTTTGATAAAACTGAGTGTTAATGGATATTGTTGTCATCATGTGCCATCAAGTTGGAACCAACTTATTCTTGAGGCTCTAGCACGCTTTCAGAGGCTATAAATCACACAAGAGATTGCCCATCTTTCTCCTGCAGAGCAACTGGTGAGTTCAAACTATGTGCCACCGAGTTGGTAGTGTAGCTTTTTACCACTAGACCATGAAAATCTTTATATTAGTGGGAGGAAAAATGAGAATGGGAAGATACGTTTAGAAAAAATAAATGTGATTTTGCTATGCTATTTGAAGAGATTTTGCTATACCAGTTTTTCATTGGAAATTTCAATGGTAGAATTTTCAGCTTCCTTGTTGGAAACCCAGATTAAATTTCTGACTAGTGCAGTTCACTTCAGTCACTGTCAGTACCTGGTAAATGTTGCTCCCAAGAACCCACTTGATGGCCTTTAACAGTAATATGATGGTGAATCTGTTTTAGCACAGCTTCTAAACTAGGGGTAAAGACCTGATGAACTCTTTCTGAATGGATCATAATATTCTGCTCTTCTGTGTGGAGTCATTATGAGTTGGACTTACAAGATGCAACCAATAACAACAGAGTGCATGGTAGATCTTCATTGGGATATAACAGGCAGCAGTTCTAGTTATATCTACCTACAGAACATTTGTTTTTCACAATGCTAGGCCCTTGTTGCATGTAATACTGGAGCTACGAAATGGTAAGATGTGAAAAGCATGTTTCAGAACCGCATCCTGATGCTGGTATTTCCAACACAATATCCCACAGCTTTCACACAATTACTCATTGCCTTCGAGCTGGGACTGACTCAGCATACCCTCCAGCAAATTTTCCAAGGCTGTAAATAATACAGGAGGAGCTTGCCCATCTTTCTGCTTTGGAGAAGGTGGTGAAATTGAACTGCCTGCCTTTGGATTGACAGCACAACTCTCTACCAGCTAGGCCACCACAGCTCCCCTTTCACATACTAGCTGCAAGGAACAGGGAATGTAATATGACAACAGGGGAATTCTAGAACTCCTAGGAGGACTCTGCCACATTTTAGAAAATGACAACTTTTATCAAGTACTGACTGAGTGCTGTAGACTATTGATCTTCTTTCAGAATCATTCTTTCTTTTGCACCCATCTTTTAGATTTTATAGTGAGTCTCAGAAAAATTAAGTGCCTTGATTTCAGTCTCTCAGCTGCTAACGAACAAACTGGGGTCAGAAAAATATTTGCTCTTATCCCAGAGCTCAGATCTCCGATCTTCGACTTTCGTCCTTTTTTTTTTTTTTTTTTTTTAACTTCCCCTGTTTTTTCCACAAGAGTTTCCTTCCTTTCATTTTGAAATTAGAATTGTTGGACTGCCAACGGAAAGGTCATTGGTTTAGCCCATTGTCCTCTCTTCTGGAGATAGATAGGCAGTCACTTTTTGTTAAGATCTACCACCTTGGAAACCTGTAGGAGATTGCCATGATTCCTAATGGACTGCCAGACAGTGAGCCTGGTTTGCATTTTGTCATTTTCCTCAGTGTTTGCTGTTGCAGCTGTCTTAACATCAGGCTAGATTCACGTGCAATCTTACACAAAAGAACAAAAATCTGCTTAGTCCTGCATCAACCCTATGATCAACTGTGGATCTGATCAATATAATTCACAGGATTTTCACCAAAAAATTTTAAGTCGGTTGTTGTTCAATTCCACAAGCAAAATTTTGTAATTCCACATTACAAAAGAAATTCCCACTCTCCCAGCACGTTAGATCTCTGCAGACAGTTTTACTGTGCCCTTTTGAGTCCTCTCTACACCTCTACCCTCGTGCCTCACCACCCAGGAGGCATATTGAGTTATGAGTTGGGCTGTTAAAGGAAATAGTGGTGGTGGTTTGCATCTACCAGCCACCCTGTGTATAGCCATGTTAGGGAGGCCGGCTTTGACTGAATCTCTTCTGATTCCTCTAGGGGACCATGATCATGACCAATCTGACTGCACTGCACAGGGACCCCAAAGAGTGGGCCACCCCTGACACATTCAACCCAGAGCACTTCCTGGAGAATGGACAGTTTAAGAAAAGAGAATCCTTCATGCCCTTTTCAATAGGTGAGTTGTAATTCATAGACAAGAGGAGATCAGAGTTGCTGTATTTGGCTCCTCATGTCCCCCCTGTCGTCCTTTGCTCTAATTGGAATGTTTCCAGATGGTCCGGCCTGACATGATTCCATCTCAGTATGTGACAAAGTGCAAATCCCTGTGTAGGGAATTGCTTTAAAACTTTCCCTTAACTTCCAAGACCTTCCTTGCTCTAATAAAGTTCAGTATGTGTTTTTTTAAATCATCTACCCACCCCATCCCTCTGAGTTCAAGGTAACAGAGAAACCCAGACAACATCACATGCTAAAAGAGAAGCATGGATATCTGCCATCTTTATAGAATTACAAAGTGTTCTAAATTCTTGAACAGGCCATAATTCTAATGGTGGTTTGGAGCTGGCTTATAATAAATAGATAAGAAGTGTATGAAGCAGGGATGGAGTTTATTTATAATAAATAGAGAGGATTCAAAGCAAGGAGACTACTAATCATGGTCATCAAGAAGGTAATTCAAGCAAATGCAGACTGAAAGGATGCTGAATCTACTCTATAAACACTCTCTGAAGACACTTTTCTTACTTTTTAAATGCCAATTACCTTTTTCAAATGAAATGGTAACTTTTACGTGGTACACACATTGTGGCATAAAGTAAAGAAATAACTGACTTTAATGGGAACCCAATGAACAAACCTGGAAATAAGTTGAGAATCAAAATAAATATTGAATTTACCATATTATAAAGAAGCTTTGGTGACCCAGTGGTAGGGGCTATGCAACAAACTGAAAGGCATGCTGTTTAAATCTACCTGCTGTTCTGCAGGAGAAAGATGGGCAGTCCTCTTCCAGGAGATTTACTGCCTCTGAAAACCTACTAGAGGGTCAGCCTTTGAATAAAAATAGGAATCTATTAATACATTTTCTATTTAGAACAAGTCAATAAATGCAGAGAAGATCAAATATCTTCTTGTATTAGAATTTCAACTAATAAGTATAGAAAGAATGATGGAATTAGAAAATCACCCTTTGGCAACAATCAAACCAGTAGATGACAGTTCCATTCAAAAACTGGTTGGTTGAACCCACGCAGGCATTTTATAGCTAAACAACTTGAAAATCAGCTCTCATAAAGATTACAGATAAGAAATTCCTATAGATATTTTACTCTAGACCATGGATCAATATCAGTTGGAATCAAGTTGATAACACCCAACAAAAATCTTTAAGTATGAAATTAGGAAAATTGTTAAATGCCACTGAGTCAACTACACATCATAATGGCCCTATGAACAACAGGTCTGTGCCATGCTTTATCCTGTATCATTCTCACAATCTATGATATGCTCAATTCAGTCATGATGCCAATCCATCTTGCTGAACATCTTCCTCGTTTTCCAACAGTGATATATTTTTCCAAAGACTAATCCTCATGGCAGCATGCCCAAAGTACAGAAGATGAAATGTCACTATTTTTACATCCAGTGAGCATTCTAGTAGCACTTCCTCCAACAGACTAGTTTGTTATTTTCACAGTCCATGGGATTCAGTACTCTTCTCCAACACCACAATTCAAAGACATTGATTATTCTCTTGTCCTCTTTATTCATTGCCCAACTTTCATATGCATAGGAGGCAATTGAAAATATCATAGTTTGGATCAGGTGTGCTTTAGTCTTTAAAATGACGTCATTGCTCTTTCATGCTTTAGAAAGGTCCTTGAAATACAGAATTAAGGTTGCACAGTGGAGTGCATTTGGGGGGGGAGGCGGGGCAGGGTTGGTGTCAGGGGATTATATACTAATGAAGAAGTTTATCTTTTGCTTTACAAAGAGAGGAGCAAACTGGGAGGAGTGGTGGTAATGAAAAAAGTGCAACAATGTATGAATGAATGAAAATCCAAAATCTCTGTAAATGTTCATTAAAATTAATAAAATAATTTTTTTAAAAAAAGAAAGGTCCTTGACAGATTTTCCTAACAAAACTTGGAAGTTCTTAAAAAAAAATAATTGGAACCCATGAAATTGACATCCTAGACATTTTTGAGCTGAAGTTAAATAGTATTGACCATTTTTGCTCAAATAATCATACAATCTTCTATGTTGGGATTGACAAATTAAAGAAGAACGATATCACATTCTTTAAGATCTATCATCAAGTAAAATGCTTTGAGTGATAGGATGCTCTAGATATGCATACAAAATGATCTGCTAATACAAATAGGGCTATCAACTTTTGAAGCCAAAGACAAAAAAGCCCAGAGGATTCCTATCAACCTCTGTGTCTGAAATTGGTTTAGAATGCAGAAATTGGAAACAAAGAAGCATGAGAGGTCATTGGAAAATATGGCTTGAGTGACAGAAATAAGGCCAGAGATCTCATGATATAATTTTGCACAACGAACAATTCATTCACTGCAAATACTATAGAAAACCACACAATATATTAACAATGACTATACACATGGATTTCACTTGATGGAATACATAGGAATCAAATTTACAGCATCTGTGGCATTCTAAAGATGGAGAAGCTCAGAATCATCGATCAAACTAGGCCAAGGGTTGAATGGAAAAGAGTGTCAATTAATCATATGCATGTTCAAATCTACCAACTTTTCCAGTCAGAAACTGATCAGACATTCAACCGAAATACACTAATAATAATGGGTTAGTAGAACTCAAAAACTGGGAATGAAGAAGAATGATTATTTGTCTGAAAACACAAGCTTGGGGACAGAAACTAGTCTGGAGATAAAATGATAGAATTGTGTACAATCATTTATTCATTGCAAATATTTTTTATAAGAAACATAAGAGGAAACTGTACACATGGAACTCACCTGATGGTGGGCACAGGAATCAGATTGACTAAATCTGTGGAAAGAATCATTGGAGAAATTCAATATCAGCTGTGAAAACTAGATTGAAAACTGATTGTGGAATTGACCACCAACTTCTCATATGCAAGTTCAAACAGAAGCTAAAGAAATTTAAATAAAATCCATAAGAACCAAAATTTCACCTTGAGTCTATCTCAACTGAATTAAAAAACCATCTCAGGAACAGAGTTGAGGCCTTGAACATGAATGAATGAAGACCAGATGAGTTGTGGCAGGATATGAAGACTATTAACCGAATGCAAAAGGTCATTACAAAGACAGAGGATGAAGAAAAATACCAAGATGGATGGCAGAAGAGACTCTGAATATTACACTAGAGCACCAAGAAGCCAAAGCAAAAGGAAGATACCAAGGAGTTAGGGAGCTGAATAGAAGATTTCAAAGGGCAATTCAGGAAAAAAATGCAGAGTATTACAATGAAATGTGCAAAGAGCTAGAGTCAGAAAGTCAAAAGCATTAAACTCGCTCAGCATTTCTTTTTTTTTTTTTTT